GTTCGGCTCCTCGCGGCGCCACTCGGCTCTCTCCGTGGTCCGGTCCCGAGCCCTTTCCGAGGCCAAATTCTGCGCGTCTTCGCTTGCCCCGCCCCTGCTCGCTCGCACTCTGGGCGGGGCCTCTGGGAAAAAAGGAAGCGGCGTCGCCAATCAGAAGCGTCCTGAGCGGAGTCACGCCGGCCAATTGTCGTGAGCGGAGGGTCACGCTGACCAATCACGTGGGTGGGTGGTGCGTCCTAGGAGTGCGTGGGCGGGTGTGTTTAAGGGAAGACGGGCTTCGCCGGGAACCGGAGTGGACCGGCGGACCCGCGTCTCGCTGAGTCTTCAGCGAGGAAGCGAGCCCTCGTGTGAGCGTGGCCGGTCCCGAGCGTGGTCACCCAGGGGAGGCTGAGCGGGCGTGGCCCGTGGAGGTGCCGAATAAACATTGGATGTGAGGAAACACTGTGACCCTTGGGACAATTCTAATGGCGCCACGAACCTTGGATTCCTAACCGCCGCTGAGACCCCTTGTCGGGTGAAGCTCTTGTCCTGCTTGAAACAGTGCCCCTTGCCCCACCCACTGCCCCTCCGTCTCCAGACCTAGAACCAGTGACAAGATCTACTCCAGGAGGGAAAGGCTCGGCCGCCGCAGAGCAGACACTGGAGCTGCGCCACGTCCCCTTGGCCTCCTGGGCCTCCGCTGCTGCCCGGGCAACCACAGGCCTTGGCCCCGGGGATCTGTGACGGACAGGCCTGTTGGACGTGGCGTGTGTGTGTGCGGATCTGTGACGGACAGGCCTGTTGGACGTGGCGTGTGTGTGTGTGTGGTTTTTGTGGGGGATGGGCAGCTGGCGAGTGGTTTGATTTGAATAACCAGAGGGAAATCAAGAATCGGCGACCAGAAGATGAATGTCGGTTGCTGCAGCGGGAAATCACAAGCCCTCGCCCTGTTTAAGTCTGAGCCAGACCGGAAACCTGCAGCTCACCGGCTGAAAGGGAGGCCTGGTCCCTTCCAGGAAGGATCTTACCATGTTACCATAAGTATATACAAAAACGTTCCTCAATCCTTCCCCAAAGGGACCAAGAGCCTCTTAAAGCAACTGATTTACTTTGGAAAAGGGACCCTCCAGACTTTTCAAGGCTCTTAGATTCAGGGCCTGCGCTGGTAGTGTGCAGGACGCCTGACGCATGGTGAGCCGCTGGATAGAAGCGGGGTTCTGGGAGTCAGGTGGTGAGCCTCAGCCCTAGGGTTATGTTTCTGGCCCCCGTGCACACTTGGGGTGGTTGCACCTCGCTGTGGGCAGAGCCTGTACATGGATTCCTGGCCTGTAGGATGAGGATGATGGTAACAAGAGCGAGGGGAACACCTGGAACTCCCAGCGCACTCACCCAATCCAGGATAGTAAATCAGAAACAGCTGCCATGTGGGATTGTGGAGGTTGCGTCACTCTCAAAGTGGTAGCCCCTAGTTCACCTGGATGGCCCTTGCAAAAGCCAGATGGACTCAAGTAAATGATGGTGGCCTACCACACAGCAGCTGTGTCAGGTGAAGTGTCTTTAATGGGACCGAAGAACATACTCTGGCTTTGATCAGTAATGAGGGGAAGTCCTCCCAGGCAGAGCTTCAAGCAGACACTGGATGTCCACTTATTGGTGTGGTGAACAGTCTTTTCAGTTTCTAGTTGTGAAGAGTAAATTTCCAAAAGCAGTTCACATTTATATGAGAAGGAGAGCCAAACAGATTCATTGCCTTGCTTCACGGCTCTTGTAACTCTCTGTCACAGCATAATCCACTGAGACCTTCATCATCCAGGCATTCCACATAACATCGACGACATGCTAATTGGACATGGTACAGAAAGAAGTGACAAGTGCTCTATCCTCGGTAAGATAATGCATGCCAGAGAATGAGAACTAAGTCCTCAGAAGTTCTGGAGCCCATCAGCAGTGGGGTCTTAAGGGGTGCAGTGTTGTAGGGCAAACCAGGGCATCGCCTTCAAGATCAGGATATTGCTGTGTCTTGCATGAAGAAGGCGTGGCACTTCATGCAGCTCTGGATTTTGGAGTCAGCATGTACCACACTTGGGAATACTGTTGTGACCCATTTATTTTTTTATTTTTTAAAATATATATTTTATTGATTTTTTACAGAGAAGAAGGGAGAGGGATAGAAACATTGATGAGAGAGGAACATCAATCAGCTGCCTCCTGCACACCCCCTACTGGGGATGTGCCTGCAACCAAGGGTCATGCCCTTGACTGGAATTGATCTCGGGACCCTTGAGTCCGCAGGCTGACGCTCTATCCACTGAGCCAAACCAGTTAGGGCTGCTGTGACCCATTTATTGGGTGACTAGGAAGGAGCCCAGAGCAAAGGGTGGCTTTGTTGAAAGTCCGGATTACAGGATGGGTTCCCCTGCCACTTAGAACCAATGGATGACAGTTGAGCTTATTTGCAGTCGATAGGGACCCTGTACGACAGCTTTGGCAGGATCCAACAGGTTTGCAGTGCACACTCCTAGGGGTCTGAAGCAAGACCACGCCTGGTGCAGTGGAGAACTACTCACTGGTTGAAACCAACTTGTGCAACACTACTGGGCTCAAGCATAGACTGAGTGCCTGATGATGGGACATCAGATGACCACGTGACTGAATCTTGCCTGTCCTGAGCTAGATACTGACTGATCACCACATCTATAGGTTAGGCAGGCTCAGTAGCAACTCCTTGCACAATGCAAAATGATTGGACCCAGGCTTGTCCAGAGGGCAGCAGTCTTTTACAGGAAGGAAAATTCATGTCTGATTCACAAATGGGTTAGCTTGCTGTGTAGATATGAGCTGAAAACAAACCACTGCTGCCCTGAAGTCCCATTCAGGATGGGGGTGGCTCTAAGAGACAGTAATGAGGGGAAGTCCTCCTGGGCAGAGCTTCAAGCAGACACTGGATGTCCACTTTGTAGTGAGGAAGCGGAGTGGACAGAGTAGTGGTGGGCTTCTGGGTCCTGACAGATGTCTTGCTGGTTGGTCAGGGAACTAGAAAGAGCAAGAGGGACTATAGGAGACAAGGAGGGCTGGAGAAGAAGATGGACCTATGGGAGTGGTCACAAGTGGATGCATCTTTGTGCCTCATGTTATACCCCCTGCAGAGGGGTCACTCAACAACAAAGTGGATGGGCAGATGTCCAAGCTTCTGCCCTTGGCTACCCCATGCTTGTGCAGTGGGCCTGTGAATGGAGTTGCCAAGGTGGCAGAGGTGCTGGGTATGTTCACCAAAATGGGCTCTCTCTTATCAAGGTTCATCTAATTATTCTTGCTGCTGGATTTCTGACCTGTTAGCAGCCAAGCTCAGTGCTCAGCTCCTGATATGGTACCATCCTTAGATGACTTGCTGACCCGTGATTCCACCCAGGAATCAACACCTCTGTGTGTGGGTTAGCCTTTCCTCTCACAGTGTCTCAGAGTGGCATCACATTGCAGGAGCTTAGAGAGTACACAATTTACCAGCATGGAATCGTATAGAACATCACCTTGGGCCCAGAAACTCATTGTACAGTGAAAGGTATACTGTGTGTGGGTTGCCACAGGATCCCATGCTTCTCCAACCTTCTGTGTTGTCTCCAAGCAGCCAGTCTCATAGGAAGATGGAATGATCTCTTAAAGACTTAGCTAAGGCCCTAGCTGGTTTGGGTAAGTGGATAAGAGCATTGGCCTGCAAACTGAAGGATCCAGGGTTTGATTCTGGTCAAGGACACATGCCTGGGTTATGGGCTCAATCCCCAGTGGGGGGCATGTAGAAGGTAGCTAATCAATGATTCTCATCATCGATGCTTCTATCTCTCTCCTCCATTCCTCTCTAAAATCAATAAAAATATATTAAAAAGACTTAGCTAAGGAGCCAGTTCTTGGACAGTGTCCTGAGGTTCTGGGGTATGTACACTTGCGTCAAAGCCCAGTGTATGGATCTGTGTCTCCAGTAGATATAATATGTGAATCCAGAAACAAAGGCGTCCAAGTAGTAGGGGTTGGGATGAACTGTCTCACAATTCTTTTTAAAAAAAATATATTTTATTGATTTTTTTACAGAGAGGGAGAGGGATAGAGAGAAACATCCATGAGAGAGGAACATCGATCAGCTGCCCCCTGCACACCCCCTACTGGGGATGTGCCTGCAACCAAGGTACATGCCCTCGACTGGAATTGAACCCGGGACCCTTCAGTCTGCAGGCCGACGCTCTATCCACTGAGCAAAACTGGTCAGGGCTCTCACCATTATTCTTGATGGCCCACTTATAGAATTTGTATGTTCTGTCTCTGCAAGAGTGAGCTCTGCTGGATTACAGCCCCTGGGTCCCAGGTAGGGAGCACTTCCACAGGGCACCTCCTCTGGTTCCAGGGAAGGACACCAACACTGAATCTGAGTCCTTGAAATCCACCAGGTCACTGAGCTCCTCATGCTGGTGCACCAGCAGGCAAAGGCGAGGTTATTGTTCCTGATTATTTTTTAGGAGATAGGGTAGCTGCTACTCAACGGGCAATGAGGGGTTGGCTTGGCACTGGCACAATGCACCTGAGTCTGCCTGGTTGCTTCCACACCAAATGAGAACAGTGATGCAGTTAGGGCCGACCTAGATAACCCAGGGTAATCTCGTCTCAAAACCCTTCATCACTTCTGAAAAGACCCTTTTCCCAAATAAGGTAACATTTACAGTATCCAGGGATTAGGACATGGGTATGTTTTGGGGGATCATTTTTTCAACCACCACCATCACGAATTCTTTCCCTCACAGCTTTCAGCTCATCACCCCATTTTGTCCTTGAATATTGCAGTTGAAAATTTCTGAATCCAGCCTAATTTTTCTCCCGTGAACGTGATTTGTTTTTTCTGCCTGAATACTTGAAGTATGGTGTATTCAAGGGGGAATGATTTATTTATTCATTTAAATGATAATAAACCCTTACATGTTAACATAAATTATATCTTATAAAAATAACTTTTATAAACAAAATTTCATGAGAAGAGTGGCCTTGTTTTTACATTTTTTCAAGTTTTGTTAATATATGGCTTAATTGAAGATAACAGGTTCCCCATAATTGTCTCTGCAGTCAATCCCTTACAATATGTTGTTTTGGTTCAAAAATATGAAGAAAATCCAGCCTAACATAAATTTACAGTTGGTAACTTTTCCAAAGCTTTTTCAGATAACTGTGCATCTTTGTTAATACTACACACCAAGACCAGACAAAAAGTAGTTACTCAGGTAAGTTGCAATTTGAAATTTGAAACCATATCAATGAACCGTTTTGTCCTCTTACATTAAAATCCATTGGCCTGCCTTGCATGCTGAATGAGTCTTTCACTCATGCATAATTTTGAAACATCATGCCTTCCTGGGTCATTTGGAAAATATTGGTTCATGGAGTTATGTAGATCTTCCAAATTTTGACACATTTTATTATATAATGTCACTTGTTAACATACCACCACTCTCATTGGAAAAATATTTAAATATTGAGAAACTTTAAGCTCATAGTGATGACACAGATTTTCCAAAATTCTAGTTTTTGTTTCAAAACTCAAATTGTATCATTGGCAACAAATACCATTGTTTTTCCTTGAAGTGCCACATTCACTTTTTATTTTTGAGGAAGTTTCTGTCAAATAGCCATGTCAAAATAACTGTAGTTTGTCAACTTTGAAGTGAAAATAGTGTTTTATGAAAAAAGTGGCTAGTTCAGCTGCCAGTTTCGACAACTGTGTGATCAGTTGCAATAGCCATTGTACCTCCATGCGCGGTGCTTTACATCATTACCCTGAATATTAAGAATTACCTGTCAAGATTTAATAATTTTTATGGCTTCATCAACGAAATTATTAAGTGAAAGTGCTTCTTCCCCCCCCCCCCCCCCATGAGCATGTGGCAGGGAAAGAAGTCGATGGTTACTAGTAGGAGGAGCCAGCAGTTTTCCCCCCCATTGCTTTTGCGACAGCACAGTGGCAGGCAAAATTAGGACAAAATAATTTGGATCTTGCTGATGTTGGGAGACTCCAGGAATCTGCAGGCCATATTTTGAGAACCACTGCTATGGTATATCATAGGTATCATAAGATATGTGTATTTTCAATTTTACTAATGTTACTAAATTTCTCTCCAAACTGGTTGTCCTGAATTATATTCTGTAGCAATTAGGACAATATTTGGCCATGAATCACAAAGATGCTGAATAACTGAATTTTATGGTGAAAGGACGTTTTAGTGATGTGGTATGTGGTTGGACACACAGAATACATTAAGTGTGGTCCCTGGAATTGCTCAGTGAACAACCTTTACAGTTGAATGCAGTTTACATAGGCATGCTTATTTATCTTCTGTACCAGTTTAGAGAGAGTCAGTCCTGGGCTTAAATGCTGGCCATATTACATGAATCTTAAGGATCCAGGTTCCTTTTGTCTTGTTCTACCCTTATGTCTCTCATTCCCAAGGTGACTGTTCCATCAAGTGCTTCCAATTTGTAGCCAGCAGGGGTGAGGGGTGGGCTGAATACAAAGATCAGGACCTCTCCCTGGTCGGGCCAACCACTATCACTACCAATTCCGTGCATCTTTGGGAGGGACTGGGGGAACTGGAGAAACCATCCTCACCACACATTCCTCAGTCTGATATTTCCTGGAATACTTTGCTGGGGTGTTCCCTTTACACTTACCACAGTGAACAGGAAATCCTCTGGGATTCATATGTAAGAGAGCCAATGAATACGAAGGCTCCAGTCCAGGCCTGTTTGGGACTATGACACTAGCCAATGAGAAGATTTGTGTGAAAATGCCATTTTTTTTCTGTATTTATTATTTCAACTTCAATTCATTGTCCCAATCTTTGAGAGAGAGACAGACACGGAGAGAGAGAGAGAGAGAGAGAGAGAAATATTAAACCGTTGCCTCCCACACATGCCCCGACCAGGCCAGATTGAACCCGCAACCCGGGTATGTGCCCTTGACTGAGAATGGAACCTGAAACACTTCAGTGCGCGGCCTAACACTTCAGCCACTGAGCCATACCAGCCAGGGCTGCCCAACCTGCCTTTACCAACCGTCTTCCCAGCCATGATCGACCGTCCCCTCACTCCAGCGCCAGGTGACGCTGACCAAATCTAACTCTTGAGCTCAATTTCAGATTTTGCTCTTCTCACGCAGCTTGAACCCTAAACAATGCCAGTCACATAGTTGGAGCTCAAGAAAAATCTTTCCAATTGACTGAGCACAGCACCCAGTGCCCATCAGTGTCTCTCTCCACTCGCACGGTCTGCACTAGACACTGGAAGTTCAGTGTCAGCCCCAGGCAGCAGCCCCTTTGTGGTCCACTGAGTCCAGCCCGGACCAGCATCCTCCGCAGAGGTCTCTGTTCTTTCCCAGCCAGCACCCCAGGCTGGACAGCTCCTCCAGCCAGATCAGCACCCAAGGGCGGACAGCTCCTCTGGGCTCGATCAGCACCCCAAAGCGGACAGCTCCCCAGGCGCATCAGCACCCAACACCCAAGAGCCAACGGCTTCGCCAGCCCCTTTCAACGCGCTGCCCAGCTTGGGACCCCCAACTCTTCTGGTTCCTGGAGACGTCGGTGCAGCTTCCGGGGCGCACCCACGCCAGGAACCCTCCCCCAAACCCCAGTGAACCCGACAGAGGTCTGCGAACCGGGCCGCCGCCTTCCCCGCCCGCAGGATCGTTGCTGCGGACGGTGTCCCCACCCGCAGACCCTCCTGCACCGAAACCCGATCCCGGTCTCCGCCAATCCGCTTCTCACACGCCCCCGCCCCAAACAAACACGCACTCGATCCTTCCCCAACCC